ATATATATATATTTTTTTTTCCTTTTTCATTTTCTGCAAGGCTGCCTTTGTACTATTATGTCCATTCTGGCTGTAATCTGCCCCCACCCCCAGGGCCTCTTAGTAAAGCCTTCCGCCCTGCTCCCTCAAGGGACAGGCCATGCAAATGAAATATCATCCAGGTATACAACGTGTACAAAGCCAGGCACCACTTAAGGGATCAGGAAGCTCACATCAGCTTTGCACACTGGTCTGGCAAAGCAGGAGTGGGGCTCGGCTTTTTTACTATACTGACATTTGAAGGCCACAATCTGAGGTTGCTCGAGGTAAGACAGCCTCAGCAAGGGCTCCTTCAGGACCCATAGTCACTAAATGTCCCACAAGCCACTTTCAACTGGAAAGGAGGGCACAGCATATGGTGGTCTGACTGCCATCAAAACACACAAGTAGCCTTTTGCTGATATTCTAGGCATTTTTCAAAATGTAGGGACATCTTCCCATGTGTCTGCCTGCATATACTTATCCTTAAAAAGCCTGTTAAGAATTTTCTATAAAAGGTTATATTTTAGGTTAAAGGTATGTCATATTTTTCCCATTCAACAGTATACAAAAATTTTCCAGATGTTTTTGTGTCTCCATCTTCATCTCCCAGGTTAATATTTCATTTGTTATTTAATAAAGAGACTTAACATCATTTTAAACCACTTTTCTATTGATGGACATTTAGGTCATTTCTAATGTTTTAACTCTGCACTGGATGCTTTTGTTTATGTCATGTCACATATTAAAATGCATCTTTATGGGGATGGAGAGATGGTTCAGAGGTTAAAAGCACTTCCTGTGTAATCATGAGGATGAGAGTTCCTAAAGAACCAGTAACAAGCTGATGTTCCACAAATGCCTGTAACTCCAGCTCCAAAAGTTCTGACACCCTCTTCTGGCCTCCAAGCACACACAGACATGTTCATATACACATACAGACACACATATGTAAATAAAAAGAAATCTTATATTCATATCCTGGTGCTGACAAGATGGCTCAGTGGGCAAAGGCACTTGACACACAAGCCTGACAACCTGAGTTTGATTCTTGGAACCCACATAAAGGTGAAAAGAGAAAACCAGGTCCACAAAGGTGTCTCAGACTTCACATGTGTACTGTGACACATCTCGCCACACATGTATCATGCACACACACAATAATAAAATAATAAAATAAAAATACATATCCTTATGATAAATCAGGGTAAACGTGTGTATGTGTGTGTCTGTGTGTGTTGCATAGCTCTGTTTTTGTTGTTGTTGTTTTTCTTTTTGAGACAGGGTCTCCCTATAGCCCCAGCTAGCATGGAACTCGCTATGTAGACCATGCTAACCTGGATCTCACAGAGATCTACCTGCCTCTGCCTCCAGAGTGCTGGGATTTAAGGCATGTACCACCACACATGGCAGCTCTGTATTTTTAAAAGTACTTTTTAAACACTGTTAAATACAATACAGAACACTTTATACAATGCATACGTAACTCCACAAATAACTATGAAGCAAGCAGCAGTTGAAATATTAGCCCACAAATCCTTCAAGTCCCTCTGCTTATCACTCCATAGCTCCCCAAAAGCAACCATCATTATATGACAATCATATAATCACAATAAAAATGCATTTTGAAGAGTTGTAAACCAAAGGTAAAGATGAAAACTAAACACATAGCATTAATTGGAAAATATTTAAGGATGGCTTGTCCTAAGCCAGTTTCTTGCCTTTTATTTTTCATCCTCACTATAGTTTATAAGGGACCATGTGAAATAGCACACCGAGGGTGAGGCAGGGCGGGCAGGGGCGACGACACAGATGTTAAATATAACTATACTCACCACAGGGCAAGTCGTTGCTCAATTTCCTTGAGAAAATTGGTATGAAATTTGTGCAAAGGTTCAAAATTGGGGAATATGAGAGTTTTCAAGGCTTCGGGCATGGAATCTTCTTTGCTGACTGTGCTTTGAAACCACTGGGAACAAAGAGAGGACAACTTAGAGGTTTGTGGATTGACGAAAGTCTGCAGTATGGGAGGACACAGGTCTTACTGCTCTCTCTCCCCACTCCACGGGAAGAAGCGCCTATCTCTTTATGACTGCTTTCTGAAGTTTCTCCCTACAGACTATTCAAGCCAGGACTGATTTCTTAAATGGGCAACTGCTTGAACTAAGGCCAGGTCACTGGAGGATCTTCAGTTTAGAACTACAGGCTACCCTCGGCTTCATTCCTTTAGGAACTGCCACCTCTATACTTTCATCAAAATGCTGAGCGTGAGGGTCGCCTAACAGGACAGCCACCCGCACATGGTCACTCACATCACTGGAGTGAGTGGGGACCAGGTCCCAGAGCTTATTGAGCACCGGACATAGAGCCTATCCCAGGACGAAGAGAAATTCAATGGTGCTGGTATCCCTCTTGATTGGCTACTTCTTTCTCCAAATCCTGGGATCAAAGCCACCTAGAATGCCTTGACTTGCTTCCAAGACTGGACAGGCCTGGTTTCAGCAGTCAAAGGCAGTTTGTTGGCACTTCCCCCAAATGGCTCAACTTACTACCAAAGATAAAATAAGATTCCTGTTCAACCTGAAGTCTCCCTGGGGCAAAACAAGTAGTTACACTTGATAATGGGCAAACCAGACTGTTCTGAATCAGTGCAGAGAGAACAAAATGTTTAATTTTAGTTGTCTCTGCTTTAGGAACTTCTTTGCGCTTAAAAAAAAAAACATAAACAGCCAGGCATGGTGGCGCACATCTTTAATCCCAGCGCTTGGGAGGCAGAGGCAGGCGGATGTCTGTGAGTTCAAGGCCAACCTGGTCTACATAGTGAGCTCTATGACAACTGGGGCCACAGGGAGACCCTGTCTCAAAAAGACCCCCCCAAAAAAACATAAACATAAAAAAATTTAAAGACTATCCCAAATTAAATAAACAATTGGCATTTAATTTCTATAACCCAGGACCTGACTCCTTTCAATGGAAGTTTAACATTATTATGTGAGCTACTACATGAAATACTGCACACACCGAAGTGATGACCTCAAGGTCCTTCAGGTATGTTCGCTCGGTGGTGGAAACTTCCTTAGCAATGAAATACGCCTTGTCAGTTGGGAATCTCTGCAAAATTCACAAAAGAGCAAGATGCAATAGTCAGTTATGAATGGAAGTTTCTGATTCATTAATGGATGCCCTGATTATTAGTTCTGATTTGACAGACAGGTTACTAATGTATGATCTTTTGTTAGTTAGCATCAAGTCTAAACAGGTTCTTATTCTCTCTCGTGTGTCATGTCTGTGCATTAGAAGGAACAAGGTAAAAGAATGGCTTTTGATTATGAGAACAAGGTCTGAGAATGTCTATGCATTGCCATCAGCTAAAGGACTCAAATTAATGCAGCAGTAGAGCATGAAACCTATGAAAGAGACGCTAAGGCCTGGTGCCATGGGCTGGCAGCACTGGGGTTCATGAAATGCTGTGAGACAGCACTTATAGTGTGGCTGGATCAAAAAGGATGAGGGTAAAATCAGTCAGCAGGGCCACTGTGACTTAATTCCTTGGAGCATGGGAATCAGACAGGTGGTAATATTCAAAATTGGGCCACCTCTGGGGTCTAGCTTTTTCCTTGAGCAGGAAAAGGAAAACCTGTATGCCTGCCAGCTTGCTAACGACTTCCCTTAAGACCATCCTGATTCTTCTCTGGGTATACACACCATAGAGCTATGAAGAGAGCCACAGAAAACACACGCACACTCAGGTTCACAGTAATGTTATTTACAACAGCAAAAGGTAGGCAGAACATAACTGCCCGCTGACAGATGGAACAGCTCAACAAAATATAGTCCCTTCATCTAATGGAACATTAGCCTTACAAAGGAGGGAGTTCTGACTCATGCTAAACAGGGATGAACCCAGAGGACATGACATTGTGGGAATTAAGCCAATCAGAAAAGGCAACTACTCTGTGATGCTCCTTACATGAGGTCTCTCATGCAGCTATACTTATTGAGACAGGAAGTAGACAGTTCCATGTCTGCAACTGCTGGGTTGTTGGGGGCTGGGGCAGGGAATGGGCAAGAATAGAGATTTTGTAGAAGATGAAAAAGTTCTGAAAACGGATAGTGTTGATGGTCTTAGGACAACAGGAATGTAGTTTGAAGCTGATATATTTGATGTTGTGGTTATTTTACTACAATTCACTAACACACACACACACACACACACATCCCCACCTGTACCTTTCTCCGGCCCTCCTCTTCATCATCGGTCCTTGGGCACGCCTGATCATTCAGCAATGGGCTGATCAAGGGAGAAGCCTGCTTCGTGTCAGGGCTCAGGTTGGGGGACAAAGTCACGTTGGCTGGGACAACTCCTCCCTGCGAGTTGGTGGACAGCTCTGAAAGGTGGGGGCTACCAGTCAAGGAACCTGTGTGGGGGTGAGAAGTTTTAAAGAAAAAAACATAATTTCTTCTGGGATTTGATTTCTGTTTACAATTTTCACCTTTGCAAAGCTTGGGAACTTGGCTAGCACATGGCAAACTTAGTGCATTCATTATTGTCTAAGTTTTTTTCTAGGTCCCCCTCCCCCCTATACTTCAGCTGCCTTAATTGTAAAGGTATCAAACAAAATACACCTCATTCAATGCAACCTCAGGAATGTAATTAAAGATAAGACAGAGACCTCTGCACAGGTAACAATTAAGGTCGCTTAAAAGCATAGCACATCCTGCAATCCTATTTCCATCTCTTAACTACTTTGCTTCTAAGAATTGCTCAAGAAAACACGTACCTATGTCACAATAAGACAGAGAAATTAGAAAACAGAACTAAACTAATAGGCATCTAAGCGACTGGAGTACTCAGGACACACTATGTCTTGTCACAATGGGTCACAGCTAAAAGAGAGGTCAAGCAACTAACTCCCCACTCTACAGAGAACAGAAGCAAGCTCGGTATACCTGGTGATGTCATTCCATGTCTGCCACTGTTTGGGACAGAAATACTAGCATCATCTTACACATAATGATGGTCATTTAAATATGCAAGCTGGAGGCCATCCCATTATCATAGTTCCCTTCTATGAGTCAAAAGTGACAGGTGGCAAGTTAGTCCTCTAGAAAGGATAGCATATTAAATAATAAGAAAATGTTACCGATTGCACATCAGCCACAGGAAATGTTATATATAAGGACACTCTTTGCCTACGTAACTGCAATTACTTGTACTCCAACCCCTTAACACTACATGGGGTGTTTCAAAATATCATTCTAATTTGTTTGTTAAGACCTAATACATTCATAATTCTCATGCAGAGCAAACATTAGGTAAATGGTTTCCATTATAAGGAAAGACAAGATGTCAGTGTCTGCCTCCATTTCAGTTCAGTTTCAATGCTCTTTGCTACTCAGCACATTGTTAAGGACCTGCAAGGGACAGGTGAAGCAGTTTTCTGGAAGAATTCTCATGTCCTGACACTTATTCTCTCCCTCTAGAGTTGTTTATAGGTGTTTTGGAAGCACAAGATACAGCAGCCTAGAATGGGGTTAATGCGAGAGAGGCAGTGACTTTGATCCCAGCAGGAACAAATCAGGGGGAAACCACCACCAGCCCCCCTGCTCCCAGGCTGCCCACTGAGTAGCATCACCAATGCAGGATGAGGAGCCACTGCACCCAAAAAAACAACTGTCCACTGACCATTGTCAGTCCAAGGATCCTTGAAAAACAAGACTGGGAACATGAGAAAAAGGCACTCAGGGCATTTGTGTTTGAAAAAAAATTCTCACATTTTCAATAAGCCTTATTTGAAATGAAGCCCCAGTATTACACACAGCAACCCAAACACCCCACATACCACCAGACCCCATAAGTCCCGGAGAAAAAGGCCAGAAATTGCTTCACAAATGTCAATTTTATTGACACTAGTGCACAACTGAATACAATAATTATGAAAGAATTGGAACTTGTCAAATAGAAATAGTGACAATATATTTGAATTGCAATTGTTTCAAGGTACTACACTATTCTCTTTAAAAAAAAATCACAGAGAGAAAAATGTTATCACTACAAATAGGAATTAGAAAAGAGAAAATTCTGGCAGTTTGTGTTGAGATCAAAACAGTTCATGCATTTGTGAGCTGCTGAATTGAGAGTCATTTTGTATCTGTCCACCAATCATCTAGTAAAACAGGGGGCTTGTCAGCTCTGACACTATGGGCAAGAGCAGGTGAGGCGGTTACAAGCAACAGCATGCTGGCCTTGAGTTTGCAGTGACATGGTACAGAAAAAAACATTCACCTCACCACTGAGAGTCAGAGCCAAGGTTAAAAAGTTGTTAGAAGGCTAGCTTGAAGTGGGGTCGGCTGCAAGGAGACAGTAACCAGCAGGCCCTGGACAGCTTCCAGGGACAGAGAGCAAGCTGCCACAGAGGGAGGGGAAAATAAGGTGCACAATTCAGACCCAGCCACGTCCACGCTCCACAGTTGAAAGCTAAGGCCTTCGCTAAGTTCCACCTGGAAATATTTGCATTTAGTAGACTGAGCAGGCTGGAAGCCTTAATAAGACATCAGATTGATTCTTGAAGAGGTGATACCCTGATACATTTGAATGAAGAAAGTCGGTTAGATTCGAAAGGATCCCCATTGGGCCACCTTGGAGATAGATGATAGAAGGCTAATGAATGCTGTGGTCGCCTGTGGTCCAGAAAAAGTTGGAGACAGCTTGGCTCCACAGGTTGCTGTGTGAAAACCTGCTGTGGGTCTAATGTGTACAATCCCCTACTTTATACATACAATATACATGCGTGGAGAATAATCAAATTGGGGTGGTTAATTTCCTTTTCCTAAGAGGGACTTGTATATATTCACAAAAGGAAGGGCACTGGGTATGTATGTAAACCCTAAGATGAGTAAATCTACAAATGCCAAACAGTCTGATCTAGGAATCTATAAGCAAGTCTAAGGAAAGAAAAGGTCCAAGTTTTTGAAGTTCAGTTTCACAAATACCGTGGGTCCACAGAGAAGAGGCTCCCTTCCATCTTTGTGCAAGAAACTATTAGACGATTTGAAACCATACAGGTAACACAGGGCCAAAACAAACCAAGAAGTCACTCATTTGTCATTCAGCGATCAATGAAACATGCTGACACAAGTAATTAGTAGAATTTGGCAGCTTGAAGAGTAATTAAAATTCTCTTTTGACTTTGAGGCAGGGTGTTGACAACCATCTGTACAAACTGGTGTCCACATGGGCAGGTGTGGAGAGCCTGTCTGATGCAAGCCAATGTTCAAGGTTATGTAGAAGTATTAGAAATATACAGAATTAATTTTCGAAGAAGCAGTCCATTTTATTACAAAGCAAGCAAATGTGGCATTCTTCAAGGAGCAGGACTTCAGAGCTTGTTCGAAGCCTGCTATCTGCTTTGAAGGCACAGCCCCAGGAGGGGAGCAAAGAGAAGGGACCAGTGAGCTGCCTTCACTGCTACTCAGAGGATGATTGACACCTAGGCATTTTTATCACTTTTCCTTGACAATGAATGGATATAAATGATTTCTTTATCAGAGAATTCTAGGTAAACAATTCTGGGGGACTCCATAAGGAAGCACCTGGACATTAAGGCAATAGGTGGAAAGAAGTTTAGAGAGATCAGAAAAAAAGATTAGTTGTATACTAAACCTCTGGAAGTTTTTCTTTAAAAAATTAAAAAAATTTTTTTTGGTTTATTTTTATTTTATGTATATGAGTGTTTACCTGCCTGTATGTAAGTATACCAGGTGTATGCAATGCCTGTGGAGGTCAGAAGAGGGCATCAGGTCAGAGTCTCTGGGAAGTGGAGTTACAACAGTTATTAACCACCATATAATTGCTGGGAACCAAACTTGGACAGATTCTCTGCGAGAGCAGCCAGTGCTCTTAACCACTAAGCCATCTCTCCAGTCCCGCTGGAAGCTTCTTAATGGCATTAAAAAAAAAAAAAATTCCCACTTCTAAAAACTTCTTTTTCTCTTTTTTTTGGAGCTGAGGATCGAACCCAGGGCCCTGCACTTGCTAGGCAAGCACTCTACCACTGAGTTAAATCCTCAACCCCAAAACTTTCCTTAAAAAAAAAAAAAAAGCATTCAGGAGTGTCTCAGACCAGTAACTCTCAAGCCCTTTTTTGCTTTCAGGACCCTCCCCCCATTAATCTGTATTAAGAAGTTTGCATTTATGCCACCTCCAGTGGACCAGCCTCCTGTGGACCAGTGAGACTCCTACTAACCCTGCTCTCAAGGCATGCAGTTCTGGTCACTGCCTTTTTGAATCCCTTTAAAATAGACACTTTATCTTCACACAATCAATTATGTGACTTCAAATTAGCCTATATTTATGGATTTCAATTTATGACCCAGCTTAGAAGCTGCCTTCACTGCTTTATGTTTTTCATTTAAAATACATTCATATTCTCTCCTGGCCCAGAGGAGGCTGGGCTTCAGTAGCTCAAGGCAGGCTCCTCTGAGAGAATGAAATGGCCTGGGGGTGGGGACATTTCTAGTAGCAAGCCAACTTCCTATCCCCAGTGATGACTGGACACAAACTTCCTATAAACTATCTACCTCTTCAGCTTGTGCTAAAACCTTTGAAAGAAACAAACCCAATTCTGGGGAAAGAAAAAAGTTCAATCTAGTTTTCAAGCAATTAAAATGGTGTATCAAATATTTCGGGATCTGCCCCATTTTGTAAATTGGTCAATAAGTTGATTAATGTCTAATTTTTAACTTGATAAGTGTTTTGTGGGTTTTCTGTGAAAGCAGGAAATCTGACATTTAAAAATAGAAACTCACTTTTTAATAAATTGAAAAATGAGAACACTAATGGCGCTCATAATGTCTTTCAAAATTTCTTCACTATTCCCTCAAATAAATATTTCTTCACAAGCTTCTAGATGCCACTATCAATCAAATTTCCTGTTACTTGGTTCTAAAATACAGATTTTTACCTATGTACCCAGAATATGTTCCAAAGGCATATGTAGGAAATATATTTAACTTCAAAGGCTCTTTTTAGACTCGCAACCTCTCACTAAAAGAGAAGAGAATGAAATCTCCCTAGAGATTATCTACTTTGAGAGCTAGCTACCCAGAAAGATCAGTATCTCACTAAATCTGAGGTGGTGTGCGATGAAGGTGGGTCCTTGCCCAACACGAAAACAGCTGGCAGTATCTGTTTGGAAAACTCAAGTCACGGATTACCCACGTTCGAGATGGCGTCCTCTTCTTGATACCTTAGGTAGCTGGGGACAACGTACGTGAGCTTCTCCGACCCAGCTTCCTTTAAGAAAAGTTTAACATGCAGCTAAACATCCACTTCACATTTCGTCATCAAGTCATTCAGAAAAGCAACAGCAATGAGGGCTTGCAGAAAAATAGAAAGACATCACCATGGGTCAAATGG